AATGACTTGTGTGATAGTGGTAAGATGGCCGGTGTTATTTATTTATTTACTTCTGATTTGGTACTATAGGCTGTTTAGATTAACTTTTTAGAAATGGTTTTATGAAATTCGAGATGAATACTGAGAAGAATTTTGTGTCAATAAAAAATGTTTTTCCCCCCTTGAATGCTAATGGTAGCATTTCTGGTGAAAATATTATAAAATAAGATAATAATGGAAAAATAGGAGAAAGGAGAGGGGGATGAATGAACAAGTACGGATACAGCCTTTTCTTTCTGGGCACCAGCCTCAAGGATATCAAATTTATTACTATTTTCAGTTTTAATTATATGACTTCATTTATAATTTACAAACGATATCTTATAAATAGAACTGGAGATAGTAGTACATCAGGGATTTTAACGTCGTTTAGAAAACCTATAAGAGAAAACAGATACGCTAGAATCAAGTTGAAGTATTTTACTTATCTATTTTATTAAATTCACCTACGTTCTTGTGTTCTCTATAAATGTACACAAATGAAAAATAAAAAGAATGATCAAAGAAATAATAATACAACTTTGATCTATCATCACCAACCAACTATAGATTGGTGTACACGTATTGTATTGGCCAATTAAAAAAACTTGCTAAACTGGGTTTTCTGGTGATTGAACATATCTGGCTCTGAGAGGAACATAGTCTCCATGATGATCTGCCAAAGATGACTTATCAACATGTTCATGGTGGTAAGATTTGCACACGAAATAGAGCACAGTTTGAACAACTAGACCCAACAGTATCACCATCAAAAGACATATCAAGCCTAGAATTGCAACCCCAATTCTCACTTCCCTTCCCACTCTCAATCCAATCACAACAAAAATCTCAAACCCTAATTGAATTCCCAGGAAGCACAGCAAGATCACACAGGATACAACAATGGAGGTCCCCTTCTTCCCCTTCATCAATTCATTGCCCTTAGTCATGGCTTCTCTACCGTGACTATCTTCCAGCACAGAAATCACACTAGCCAAATGCCAGATTATGGTTACATACACAAATCCAATCAAATACAGCAGGAAGAGAATCCCCCCAATTATAAGCCCAATGAATCATCGAAACCAATTACGGAAAGCCAGAAGATGAACAAGAGCCCAGAAACAACATTATAGGCAAAAACAAGCGCAATATTCCAATTAAAAGTTATCAAAAGATTGCTCCAAACCTTGGAAACGACGTCCATGACTTTCCTGAAAGTGACATTGGCGGAAGCGTAGATGGAGGCGACAGTGTACACAACAGTAGAAGTGGAGAGAAGCGAGAGACTCAAGAGGAAGGTGAAATAAGCGAATTTGAGGAGGAAGAAGGAAGTCCATTGAGAGAAGAGAATATCAGAGAGGATCACGCAGGTTTGGGAATCTTGAGGAGCACGATGCAAGGAGGCTTGGTTATGGAGAATGTTGAAGAAGATGAGTTGGGAGATATGGAAATGGGCGAGGAAGATGAAGGAGAGAGGAAGGAGGAGAAAGAGAGAAATTTGGGTGAAGATTTTTGGGCGTGTGAATATGAGTTTGAAGGATTCTTTGAAAACGCCTGACACACCCAGAGATTGAAGCTCGTCTTCTTCCTTCTTCATCACACTCCTTCCTCTCTGCACATTTTAGTTGCAGAATGGCATGGCTATGGTTTAAGGCTAATATGTTGGTTGGAAATTGAACTCTTGCTAAAATAATTAAAGAAAAATTACGTTTAAAATTTTCAATCTTGCAAAATTTAGAATAAATATTTTTTTTAAAGTGTAATCTAATAATCTATCTTGTACTGATACTGGCAAAATAAATAAATAAATAAAACATCGATATTAAACACATAAACGTATTGAATTCAATTCGCGCAATCTATTTCATAATACATATAATATATTTTGTTGTCTGTATTATTAGTTTGTTTTTCTTTAAAATGAAGCGCTAAAAAAACTCAAATTTTTTGGTTAATTGAGATAAATATATTTCTATTTTTTAAAAATACTTATTTAAAACTCAAATTTCTTATATATCTTTTTCATTTTTGTTATTAGTTGACTATACATATTACTCCTCTTCTAAATATAAGATTAACAGAGGTATTGCCTGTACACCCATGAGAATCACATCAGATCTGAACAGTCGTTTTAAATTCTATTTTTTTTAATCTTAAATAATATAATCTTCTATCACTTTGTCAAAAATGATCTCATTAAAAAAATTACAAGTTAATGTTTTTAAATTTAAACTAATTTCGATTTTATTATTCCAAACAAATTCTATATGTCTGTAATATATGATTAAAATTATCTCTCAAATTACAAATATTAATTTGTTAAAAATTAATCGGATGGAAGCTATAATATGAAATGTCCTTGAGACGATTTGTATCAATTAATTAAAAAATTGGTTGAAACTCCCAAAGTAATATATTGTTGAGGTGCTATACATTCTTCTTGTTGATCAACGATTACTACAATACTACCTAACCAGAAGGCTTCAAACATATCAACTGCACTATCAATGATGTTGGAATAATTTATTTCTACTGTATTTTTATTTAAGAACTTCATGGATCCATAAGTTTATACAAAAATTCATGTATGTATATATTTAAAATATTATCATCAAATCAGCCTCATAATATCAAGGTTTCTTTCTTCTTACTTGTCCCCCCCCCCCCCAAAAAAAACAAAAGGTGATAATGTTGATGAGAAACGATGTAGCTGGGTTTTTATAAAATTCACTATTATTAAAGATATTTGAGGACTAAATCTTTTAACAAGTATAATTCATTTTACATCACACAACTAAAAAAATAATAGTTAATTAAAACATACTATTTGCACTAGTATTCTTAAACAATATCAAGTACTATTTCTTGTTTTTTAATATAAGAGCTTATTTGATTTTTATTTCGGTCTTAAATATAAGACCCCAATCCACTTTGTCTTTTATATTTATTTATTTTTTTTCAAAATAATCTTTATAGTAGTTGCATAAGGTTTCATCAAATGGTAATTTTAGCTAATATAGATGATTAACAATGGTATTCTAAAAGAGACAACACCTATTTATGACAAATAACTAACTTAACTAATTTTCTTAATTTCTCCAAATTAGTTAACTAGGTCTTATATTAAGCACCGGAAGTAATTTTTTTTAATAATAAATTTTTGCAAAGGAAACTTTTCAGCAATTTTACTTTTCATAGATCATAATGGCATTTGAATGGGAAAGAATCACAAAAGTTTGTCTAAACTGCATAGAAGTGATGGTTCAGGGGTCACTTGTTCAGCAATACCTTAATCTTCACAATCTTCGTTTTAACGTCACCAGCAACCCATGATTTTCAAGCATCTAATTCTTTGTACCAAACTTATCAGTTTGTAATTAAATTGAAGAATTAGGATTAAGAGAGAGAGACGCAAGAAACACATTTATCAGATAGAAAATCACTTCTCTGTTATTTTTTAATACGCCAAGTTATTACTCCCTCCGTTCCTTATTATAAGAAACATTTGATGCTTATGACATGTTTTTATATATAAGAGACACTTAAAAGTTGTCTCTACTTTTTTGTATTGATTTCTTATTTTATCCATATTTATTGTCTCCAACTCACACTCTCTCTCCCTCCCACTTCTCTTTCATTTAATAATTTAATTGTTCTCTCTCATGCTCTTTCTCTTTATTAATGAGGGTATTTCACATTGATTGTTCTTAATTAATTTTAACTGTTTTGTTTATCAACGTAATTCGGTTATTCTTCTCTTATAATAAGGAACAGAGGGAGTATAATAAAGAATAATGGCGACAGCCTTGCTTGCTTCTCTCTCAACACACCAAAAAAAAAAAACTGAAAACCTGTAGAATTCTTTCCAGAAAAGAGACTCTCATGCTCTTTTTGTTATTTTATTATAACTAAGTTTCAACATATGCTTTATTGCTAACTGCAACTTTTTTTTTCCTTATCCGAGAAGCTATCAGTTAAAAAGAGTTATTCAAAAGATATATCTTGCATTTGCAGAAAAAAGTGATAGGCATCATGTCTCCATAGAGAAACAAAAAGAATTCGATCGACATCGAAGGTAGAGGGTCTATGCTTAACATTATTTTATAGTGTATTAAATTTTTAAAAGTAGAATATTAAATATAATTTTTAACTGTCAATTTAAAAAAGTGTTACACGAAATTATTAGTAGTTTAAAGTAATTTTTAGTGTAATTTTCCCCTTATTTTCTTAATAGTAATGAGTACCCTATGTTTTAGAATTAAGATACCGAATTTTATTGAAAAGTATAATATTTTAAAATACTGGGTGCACAAAATAAGGATGCTAAAAGTAACTTAACCGAATTTGAATGCCAGGAGAAAAGCCAATTTTAGTTCAAAAGTTTAAATTGTTGGGTAAGATTGATGAATTATTTTGTTACAACAATAATTTGGAAGTTAATGGAGTTGCAAATGTACGAAAGATATGAGCTTCAAAGCAGATTCCTCTAGATGGACCCTATGAACTTAATCTTAAAGTGTCAATTGATCTTCAATTTTGCTTGAACAGAAAGAAGCTAGAATTTTCTTTAATAAATAAAATATTGGATAGCGCAACAAACAGCACATGAATGTGAAAAGAGGTTACAATAAACCTCGTGCACACTTTCTTTTCTTTTCTTTTCTTTTTTTGAAAAAAAAATGATATACTCTCCTATTATTCTATACTAAGTAATTGTGGATGATTCAAAATCAATACAAACCGTATACTTTGCTTTCTACATCAAAAGTCAGAACCTTGTACTTCACATCTGATATAACTCATCCTAAATAGAAACATAGCCTAAAAATTGACAGCATATCTTCCTTGAATTTGACCCTTTAAAAGCGGATACCTGTTTTACTCTGACAATTATTCAACAACTAAGCCATTCCTCATATAGCATCTACCGCTATATTAATGAATGTTAATTTTAATCTAGTGGCCGGCAAATGTAATTTTCGCACTACTGGGCCTTCAGGTCTCAAAGATAATGGACAAGCCATCAAAGATCAGTCTTTGAATTACAGGTATAGGACTTCAGGGCAGGACCCAATAAATTTGATCATGTTTCTTGCAAGCAATGCACTTCTTAGTTGCAAAAACCGGTAGTGAACTCCAAGACTGCCATGACTTGTATTTCTTGCAACTCCATAACTAACACATCAAGGGCTCATAGCGACCACACACACACATATATATTGGAAGAAAACTATCTGGTCTTTCATTAAAGACAATAAAGCAAGACGATAATCAGCTAATTGGAGATTCAGGATGAAATACTTGAACCTTCTTTCATTTGTGTTCTTTATTGTCTTCACCAGCATCCAGGTTTGCTTGGCAGACTGTGATAATCTACAAGACTCTTGTCCAGCAGTTCCTCCTGAAAAGCAGACAATATTCATCAATGGTCTTCCCTGCAAGAACCCAGAGAATACAACAGCTCAAGATTTTAAAACCTCAGAATTGAGCAACGCTGGCTCTACTGACAACATTTTCTCTTCGTCCATGAAGATTGTGGGTGCTTCAGAGTTTGCAGGTCTGAACACTCTTGGACTCTCCATCGGCAGAATTGATATTGACGCAGATGGTCTTATAACTCCTCATTATCATCCAAGAGCTACTGAGGTCATCTTTGTCACCAAAGGTAAATTGGTGGTTGGATTCCTCGACACCAAAAACCAGCTTTTTCAGAAGTTTCTCTCTGCAGGCGAAGTGTTTGTGTTTCCCAAGGCTTTGCTCCACTTCATTCTGAATCGAGGCTTTGAAGCTGCTACAGTTATCTCAGTGTACAGCAGCCAAAATCCAGGGTTGGTATCCTTCACTTCTGCAGCATTTGATAACACATTGGAATCAATAGAGAAGCTAAAGATAAGACTTACATCACTCTCTGCCTCAGAAATTCACAACGTTAACGATTTGAGTTTGTCAGGATTGGACAACATTCACTTTTAGCCATATCAAACTATTGTCACGTCAGTTCCAAAATTATAGTGGAATCTTTTTTTTTAACAGTTTTACTATTTATTGAATGAATGTGTAAGTTTACGTTGGTGAAATGAGTTCGTGGGCAACGTAAATCGTTGTACCAAATTTGTATTCCAATGTGCAGTTTTATAAAAGATTATGGGGCACTCATTAGAGCAGGCTCCCACATTATCTGTCAGAAGTACTAAAAAAAGTTGTAACGATGGAGATTCGATGCTGTCAGATTGTTCCATAGACGCGTTTTTTGAAAGATTTTCTAAATCAGCATTGATATCCTTTGCGTTTCTACTAAATTCGCAACAGAGGAATAAAGCCAAGAACTCGCAGCAAATGAATGAATCTTTCAACTTCAAAGAATATGCCAATAACCAATCTATATACAATATTCTTGACATGAAAAGTAGGGAAGATAAACAACATGGAATCAGCTTACACCATTCTCTTTCTTACTCATTGAGAGTTGACTATGCACTCCAACAAACTTCAAAGTTCAGGAGAGAGGATTTGGCATGGTGGAGAAATTAAAGAATCTGCTATTTGCCACTTAGCTGTATAAAAAATGGGGCAGAAAATTATCAAACTAACAAAATTCTTTCCAATTTTCAATATATGTTGACAGATACTTTATCTTAGGCGATCACTTGAAAGTCCGCCTGAAGGCTCATCAAGCATAATCACCGGGTATATACTTGTATCCAATGGATGCTTCAAGTTGATGTGAAGAGGGACAAGTATATAAACTTTTTAAGAGGAATCCACCAACCATCAGTCCAAAACATCCCAGAACAAACTCAATATCAACCAACCAAAGAAGTCATCTTAATCGTGACAATCTTCTTCTCTTCCGCCTCTTCTTTTGCACAACGCCACCTTTTGCTTTACTGTTACCAGGAGGAAGAGCTAACGTTGTTGATCGTCTGCCAATGTGGGTCCTTAACCTCCTGGCAACCCATTTCAAAGGCATATTGTTAACAACAGAGCTAATATCACTAGAGTTATTCAGTTCAACAAGTTTTTGAATTTGATCTAGCATCTGATGGGTCCAAGCCACTGACAAATCCAAGGCAACTGAATCATCTGTTGGTTTTGCCCACAGATCCATCAAAACCTCTTTAAAAGACTGAAAAGACATGGAGGGTTGATAACCTTGAAGATTTTCACAAATCATGTTCACCTTGATGACATGCTTGCAAAGATTGCCTTGCATTGACCAAGAGCAATCACAGAATGCAAATTCTGATCCTGGATTCCATACTAAATGTGTTATACTGCTGTCTTTCTGGCTTACAACTTTTGCAAAGAGACGGTCTTTATCATCCAAGGTGATGGCAGAGTCAGGAATTTTTAATGCACGATGCCATGATGTACAAGCAACATATTCCTCCCTTACGTTCTGGAAAGAATCACTTTCATCAGCATAACGGTCAAGCCAGTAGCTTGAATGCAACTCAGTTGTCAACTTGTGCACTAACCAATCAACTCTTTGCAGCGCTCCAAGATGTGAATCGTCAAAAAGTTTGGCTTTCAGTTTCACATGATAGGCCTCTATGGCACCAGAAGCTTCTTTGCTAGCCAGAGGAAGATTTCTCATTGTTGAAAGCCACATTTCTGCTCAAACCAGAAGAGCACGGTGAGGAGAAAAGCAAATTAGAACATAATGAACAAGCATACAAATAACTTCAGAAGCAAAAATTCCAAGGTATGCATATCAATGTGCCCAACTAGGCAATTAATTTTGTTCGCATGGAAAAGAGGATATATTCTAACCAAGCTTAGGAACCCATGAAGCCTTGAAGTATTCCATGAAGGCCTTTTGGTCAACAAAATCCAATAAAAATTGTTCCAAGGCAACAGATACATCAACTCCATGCCAAATGCTGTATGCTATAGTCCCAAGACGCTTAAAAATCTCCCGCTGGACCTCAATGTTACTGCATTTCTTAACAATATTCCTTAGCCATGATCTCCGAACTCGCCAAAATGAAAATAGGATAGGACAGCAAAATGTATCTCTGTAGAAAGCAGGTACAGTAAGACAATTATATATTATCACATAATTTAAATCAAACTTCCAGCCAAACTCATCTGTAAAGCAATAAATCTTGCCTCAGAAGATCAATTTCAGCTGCTGCGTCATCAATTAAAAATCCACTGACTTTCCAACCAGGTTCAACACTATGAGCTCGACTGATCAAAGCTTTCAGCCACTTAGACACATCAGGCTTTGCAAAACTACGTGTAATTACCCATGCAACTGGAAGTGCATGTTGTCTTGAATCAAAAACAAGAAGTGAGAATAAGGGATACTGCCATTGGGAAACAATAACTACGTTAGGACTACTCACAGTTCTTACTCAGATATTGTGAAAAATGAAAAATCTAGATCACAAATTAATTACTTTAAGTCTCTTTATGCCAAAGGTTGAGTCAGCCGCAACAAGACTGCGATGACCAAATCGGATCATTTGTTGCAACTGCCATTCTGTTTGGATCCCCAAGATAAAAGGGTCTGACTCTGAAGTATCCTGATAAAAAAATATGGACTTTTTATTCCGCTCAACCCACATGCGTATGCTAGCTTGATCATCTAGATCCAGCTCATGGGTGGACCTTTTAATGATCATCCCTAGTTTGTGGACGTATTGATAAGCAAGGCTATTCACTTTTGCATTTGGACCACAATAACGCTCAATCCCTTCAATGTGTTTTTCCAAGATATTTTCTTCAGGAATGCCCAGATAAATCATAGACATCGTCTGCTGCTGAATTTCATTACATATATATGGAATTTTCTTGGCACCTGGTCCTATGGCATCTCTGTCAAGTGGACCATGGCAGACAAAACCAGACTTGTTAACGTGACGCCTCTCATTGTATATGATAAGGGCAAGTGATGGACGGGCATAAAGTCGTTTGATAACAAAATGACAAGTACAACCCCTCATTGATTGAGGTCTAGCAGCACGATTTCGGGTGTTGAGTCGATATCTCCGACTAGGTAATATACCTCCACCTTCCCCATAATTTTCTGGACCAAATGAACACCAGTACCTTCACAAACAACAAGACTCAAGTTAAAACATAAGCACTGCAAATATTAATGACCTAATGGTCAGTCAACCATATTTAAATTATTTCGTTGCTATTCAGACGTGAGCTGTTGCTTGCTAAGCCTAGACAATAACCGAAGCATAAGGCCAAAAATAGGATAGTAGCCGGAAGAGCAAAACTATAGACAAAGTTTGATTCTGTGAGCATGCTAAAACATTAGGTAACTTCAAAGGGAAGAGTGATTTCAAACCTTCAAAGATCCTACTCAATAAAAGAACGAACAAAAAATTGCTCAAGTTTTCACTAAAAACAGCCAGTTAATCACAATAAATCAAACATTTGACTAAATGAATGTCTTTGTTATAGGCTTAGAGGCCTACTACAAAGTTAGACTTACAGCCTATATTCCAGATACTCATCGTCCTTGTATTCTTTTAAGCTTCCCATGGACCGTTTTCTTCCTCTCTCAATATGAAACCGTGTTGGGCATTGCACATTAGAACATTCACCAATTATAAAAGAATCAACTCGTTCATACGGAATAAGAGCAACATCATCATGGTGCTCGGCATTGCCAAACTTGGTCCATGTCAAATCCGCAGAACAAAACTCCTCTTCAGATGGGTCTTGCAAAGGAATATCGCCAATTGATTCAATTATAGCCATGTGCTCATAGCTATAACCTGCCCCACTAATATCGGATATTCAAAGCCACGACTGCAAAACAAGTTTAACAATAAACCACAGCACGAAACTGAAAGAGGCTCAAAACAAAAATTCTAAGCAGTTTATTCAGCAGCTCTGACAGCACAAATAGAAAAGACTGCTGCTACAGAAATTAGCAGAAGTTCAATACAAATCCACGAAGCACGGAATACCCGATAACCAATATGACGTAGAGAATTAAATAATGAATATTGCGGAGATTTCTCAGCAGCTAAGCTAACGAAACAGAAAATGGATATTTGGAGGAAGAAGAATCATTTTCTGCTCTGTTAGGAATCGCTGCTGCGGTGACTGCTCATCCTTGCTAGAGAGACAGAAGAAGGGTTTAGGGGATATGAAAATCCAGGCTCACCTGGGAATTGGAATGACCGAGAAACGGGACAATCGTTATTCCCAAAACATTACGTAACGTATTTCTGGGTCTAGATTAAATAAAAAATTAAATAGTAAAAATTTAAAAAGAAAATGATTGTCTGTAAAATATCAAAAAATTTCTAAAAAATTAGCAAGTTTCTTTTTTCGATTTAAATTAAATAGGTATACTTTTTTTCGGTTATAAATAATACTCCTCCGGTCCTTAATATAGGACTTAATTATTGAGTTGATTTTGGTTTTAAATATAAAACCCATTTATTATATTTGTCGGTTTTCTCTAAATTACATATATGGATACTTCCTTAATCATAATCAAGTAGAAGAGGGAAAGGGAGTATTAAAAAAGATGATTATGGTATTCTAGGAAAAACGTGTCACATTTCTTATAATTAACTAACTTACCTAACTTTCTTAATTTAATCAAATTAGTTAAATGGGTCCTATGTTAAGAGTCAGAGGAGTATATTTTAAATTTTCTGCAAATGTAATATATTTTGTACGTTTATAAAGATAATTAATTTAATTGGAAAATAACACAATTCAACTTATATATAAGTTGCACCTGTACGTGTAAAATTTAACCATTTTATCTGATATATGATAATTTTTTCCTATTTATAGTTTTTCTTTTTCTCAATAATAAATTGCCTTATGTTGAGAGGTGGGGAGAGAGAGTGAGAGAGCTTGGGCTGTGGCCACAAATGGATGGTCCAAGGTGGTATCGCACAGACCAATATAGCCCACAAAAAATATAGAATGTTTTGTTTTTCGGCTCATATGTAAACCGAATTCTGAGGTCGGAAGATTGGGAGTTTACTAACTCATCTCATATCTTAATGGCCCAATATGCTTTCTTTTCTCATTCTCATATGATATATAATTATAAAAGACAATTTTGAGAGTTGTCGTACCCCTAATTTTCAAGAATCTTTACAAGGTTTTAGAAGTAATTAAGAATATTTTTTTTCCTATAACACCGCTAATAAATGAGTAGACTTTTCATTGAACACAAATAAACAATTAATTGAAGTCAAAAATGGAAAAAAAAATAAAAACAAGTAAGTATTTAGACATCAAGTAAACTATTTTGTGGGTATCTATGAATTAAATAATTTTCTCATGATTAGGGATGGATGGAATAGTAATTATCTTCTATGACCATATGTGCTATGAGATGAATAAGAATCTATCTTAAACATATAAACAGCATCATTTCTCAAGTCCTGGATTTTGCGGAAATTTATGCATCGTACTTTCAATCAGAGTTTAAGCACTGCTCTTGTGCTAATATTCATCAATTCCATTACCGTGAGATCCTTCATATTAAATCGAACGTTTTAATCTGTTACATGATACAGAACCAAACCGGAAAAAGTTAGTGACAACATTTTTCTTATCCCAACGACAGCAATTCCACATCTTGCTCAAGAACCTATTTCACTCCTATTCTCTCCGTTAAAAAAAAAAAAAAAAATCAACCAAAAATTACAGAATTAGAAGTTTGAGAGTTAGTTTAACTTTTGCATTTCAAGGTTGATATCTCTCCCTCATTTTGGCTCTAGCAAAAAATACTCCTGCCAGAAGACCTGCAAAAATTGCACTTCATCTTCAGTGGGGCCAACAAATGTGTAATCCAATATATCCAACCCAGCACTTATGTTCTATGTAATAACAATTGAATTCCTTCCCCAGAAACATAATAATTCAACTTGAGCATAAGGCGGAGAACTAACCAAAGAAGATGCTAGCAGAGTTCTCCAAACTAGTAGGAACTTAAAGAGTAGGATGCCAGCAACTGAAAGGGGGATTTTATTCAGTGAACCTACAAGGCTACAGATTGCAAAATAAGCGATTAGATATATTAAAAAACAATTAATCCAAATTACAATACTTCTTGGATATATAGCATGGAATAAGAGACTAGATTTATTAAAAACTGACTGCACCAGCACCTACATTGATTATTCCCTAGTTCATCATTCATACAACATTAACCCCCAATCAGATTATATACAAAGGCCAAAGCCTCAAATTAGTTATGACTCAAAAAAGCGAGCGAGGCATCACTTTTCTAATTTTTTTTTCAAATGCATCAGAAGTGAACTATCACGTATTAGTTAAGTTTACTTCTGTCACACATAACTGGTAAGTGGTTACAGCATGGCTGCTTTTAAACCTACCTGTACGTTGTAGCACTAGTCTTATGAAGAAACCACATGGAAGTGAAGCTGATAGCTAGACCCAAAAATCCGCTTAATGTCATCACCAACCAAAAGCTAGGCAATCTCAGAAGTGGCCTGCAATTTATTTCAAGTTTTGGATATTAATAAGATCAGCCCATGGAAAAGAGTATGAAGAGGATTTTAATCATCAATATAAGCTGGATGGGCTGCCATAAAATCACTATTCTGGAGATTCAAAGGTGTGTATTTCTTTAAGCATACATGTTAACATAAGAAACAAAGCAAAGGGCAAACTTAAGATGTACTCTTGATGATCCATTTTAACCTATGAAATTAGACAGGCTCCGCAGAATATGTAATTATGCAAAGAAGTGAATATTGACTTCATTTAATGAAAGTTGAGAGAAAACTCACGTTGTTAAGAGATAATCCACCTCGTTGAAAACAAAAACCATAAGGAATCCCAAGGGCAAAGAAAGGCTATTGTTCAACAAAACCATTGAAAACTCATTTAAGTTTCCAGATTTTGTAACTACCTTTGCTGTATCCATGACCTTACGCAGTGTCAGCTGGAGCAACAAATTGAAATCAATCAAATAATTAGTAAGCTTAAAGCTAGCAATTAATGCTCATCTAAATATATAGACTTGAAAATAGTATCCAATGCATTTACACTGAAACCAAAGTTTGACGGCCCATTGCTGTTTAAAATAATAAAATACAGCAGTAATTAAGGAGCATGAGTTTGGAAACCATCTGGAGCAAGAAACACTTAAAACTCAAGACGCATTGACTCCACTCTCACTCTCACCAGGGATACGCCAGGAATTTTTTTTTTTTTTTTGGGTCTTTGAGAATAAAGGCTTGACTGAATGTACTGATAAGTAGATCATACCAATTTCAATTGTTCAGATCATAGGAGAAGCAGCCACAAGTATCAGTGATCCAACATATAAGACCATCATACTTATACAAATTTGACAGAATTTAGCAAGATAGAGACATAGGCGAATCTATGTAGAAGTATTGGGAAATGATATTGGATTCACTGATTCACTTATAGATCAGTAGAGCTTAAGGTTCAAGTCAGCTATACTCACAGAATATGACGCAGTTAAGAAACAGTTAACCATCTGCCAAGCATAACCAATTGCGTGAAAAGAGAGATCAGTAATCCCGCCAGACATTGCAGAAATGATCTGCAAAAGAAAATGCAACACTCTTTTCAGATTATTACCTTGATTAGTCATATTTTGTTTTCTCTTGTAATGTTTTAAGCAGATAATCTTCTTCAAAGTAAAACTTAAATGAATCGAACAAAAAATAGACGTCCAGAATATGCTGCCAAGCATTGAAAGTTACTCAGTCATGAATGCTTATGGCATAGGCAAAAGCATAATGTTCCCAACATGGGACACATCAGTTCAGGCAGTCCCACAAGTATATCATACAAAATTTGACTCGCTGATTTGGAAAAACTGTGCAAACTTCATAAACTTTGACACAACCCTCTAGAAAAAGGAAAGGAAGAGAAAGCCATTGAAAAATGACATTAAGAAACACATGACTAAGTCATGATCTGAAAAAGATAGGACCCAGCTGATTACATGACTAAGAATATCCGAATAGAACAGGTATTGCAGAAGAAACTCATGATTCTAGATTACAACCAGCATCACGGAGAACAAAAACCAGGGGATCGTGAGTGGCCAAAAAAAAGGCATAATGAGATCCACACATCAAGCTCTTCAAGTTCAGAATACCATTAAAAACAGAGCAGCCCAAACCCTGCTGTCATGATGCTTCCTGAATAAATACATCTCGCCAAGGGCTGTCATGACATTAGTAACATTCTTCAGGATTGTCACCATAGCTACATTGATGTATTTCAAACTGCAACATAGCATAAACTATTATTAGCAATGCAATCAAAGCAAGATAAAGTGAGAGAAATGAACAAACTCCGCTGTTGTCAGCTATAATTACTTGATCCTCGCGTCTAGAGACTATAAACTGACTTTGGCAGAAGCGTAGATGACATGTTCGACAAAAGAAACTTAGCATTCTTTAGAACCTTGACACCCCCCCAAACAAGAATAAGTTTCCCCGTATATCAACATACTTGTGTCCATTTGGTAATAAACACCACCCCCCCCCCCCCCAAAAAAAAAAAAAAGAACCTATCCGAGCACTCATTAAGTTAGTGGTTAATATTATATGAATTTAAATACCTAACAGTTAAAAAAATAGGAACAAAAAAAAACACAAGAAGAAATTAAAATTTAAAAGAACTAGAAGCATATGAGACAATGAGTAGCAGAAGACTAGTCACAAAACATCCACATCCCTGCCAGAAAAATATCATATGGTACAAATACCATTCAGAAAGAGAAAGAAAACACATTATTAGCCACGAGGTTCAGAACTAAATACCTAAACATGCTAGTAATGAGCATCCCGACAAATATAACGTTCACAGGCAGCCACACCTTGATCAATTTCCATGTTAATGGCTCTGTCGATATTAAGCCCAGAAGGCTTAACATAGAAACTACTATTACTGAAATGAAATTCTGCATCCACAGACCACAAGAGTGTCACAACTCACAAGCCAGTACAGCTTCTTCTTCACTAACTACACTAGATACACATACGCTGCATAAACAGCTAAAAGAAATTTAATAAGAGATTAAAGTAAATTACCTGGTATAACATCAAGGATATTCCAGCATTAAAATCATAACTAGAAAGTACGAACTTGTTGACCAATATCATGCTGCAGGAGGACAGGCAATATGCAAACCCAGACAGGAGGGCTTGATTGTGGACTCCAACTGACTTGGCATTTCGCTGAACTTTATCTCTTTCCTTATCCGACTTCCCTTTTTCCAAGTCAAAATCATCACCAATAGAAGGTTTCATTTCATGTCAGAAAGGGCGTAATCCAAGCAAAAGCAAATTAAATCACAGTGGAATTGGATCTGGCTATGGCTTCAAGAGCAATTTGAAGAAGGAGTGAAGTAACAGACAGTATGAATAAGCTTCACGCTACACGGTCCCCCGGGATTCACGATGGGGAGCTCAGGATCGATCACACCAGAGAAACGTGAAAAGGAAATTTTTGAACCCCACACACCCTCTTCACAAAACCATTGATAATGAAACAATTCTAAATTTGGATGAAATCTGAGATGGAGGAACAGTAAGAAATTCAATATATGAACTCAGGGAGGTTGGCGCTAACAGAATCAGCAAGAAGCTACAGGAGGATTTGTAGATTTGAAATTTGAAGATGGAAAGTCCTCCTTTGCTTCTGAAATTTCAACTACTTGTATCATTGACGCAACCAGCCTTACTGTGAATCTTCCACAGTTTGAAATTATAAATATTACCAAATGGCGAAGGTTTGCTTTCGCGGGTTTGAACTCGAAAGGGACATAATTAAGCATCAACATCAAGACGTGTTTGGTTGTCTTCCCTTCTACTTTAGATTCTGATTTAAGCCGCAAATTTGAAGGGAAAAGAAAAGGTTAATTCAATATGTCAAATTTAAGCAATTATATTTGACCAAAAAAATTTAAGTATTTATAAATCTAATTATTTTTTTACCTGAGTATTAATAAATCTAATTAGAAATAACTCTTTCTAATATTTATTCATATGAACTGATGAACATTTCATTTTTATTTTTTTAAAAAAATACTATTCTCCTTAATCATTCGTAACTTTGTGTCCGATTAACCAAATTTGCAATAGATCCATCTAAATTCACTGCACAAAAGTGATTTTAGCAGTTTCTGCAATTTTTAGAATTGAAACCAAATCATATTAGGGTATTTGGATTGGATTTTTAAAGATAATTTTAGCAAACGAGCCTCACAAAAAAGAATGCAAGAAAATTATCACAAAAGACAAATATTTCATTTTAGAGTGCGACTTAAGAGAGAGAGTATATAGAAACAAAGAAGGTACATTTAGAGGGGATCAATACTAATTTTTAATTTATTAATTTCAACGGTAGATCCTTATATAATAAAATAATACCTCCGATTCTAATTATAAAAGTTAATTAACTAATTTGAGAAGATTAAATAAATAAGTTAAGTTAATTATTTGTAATAAATAGGTGTTATATTTCTAAAAATATCCTTATTAATCAAGTGTGTTGGCTAGAACCACCATTGTTAGAAAGATTACTTTGGGAAAAAATATATAAATATATTTTAATAACAGTAGTTCTAGCAAATACACTAAGGATATTTTAAGAAAGACAATATCTATTTGTTATAAATAACTAACTTAACTTATTTTCTTAATCTTCTCAAATTAGTCAATTAGCTTTTATAATTAGGATCGGAGGTAGTATATCACAAATTTAGTTTTCAAACCAAAATATTTGTGAACTGATAAGATCAGAAAAACGGGGATAGATGCACCTACTTAGTGGAATGTGCATGGCATGCCAAATTGTTGGGATGCTTTGAATGCTTTTTAAAGTGTTATTGACATTTCATCTTTCCTAATGTTTCCGTTACTCACCATCTTAAAAAGGTTAGCTTCACAACAACCAAATGATAAGAATGCGCCAATTATTTTAATGGCAACTTGTTGGTTTCCCAGCATTTTTATTATGTGGTATCCACTTCAGCAGCACACCAGGCTGGACATTTTCAACTTATATGATATTTATATTTGTTAATTTGTTATCTCGAAAATTATAATTATAAGAAAAAATTGCAGAAAAGTTTGAAAATCTTATTAACTCTATGTATATAAAATTTACAAAACATTTTTATGTATATAAAAATTTATCAAATCATTCTGACTGATATAAGTTTTAATGGGAAACTTTTCCCCTAGTTTTTCCTAATTATAGTGTCTTTTTAATTTAAAAAATGAACAATGAAGCCATAAATATATTGTATTCGCTACAATAAACTCCACCACTAATTATAATGTCCTGTTTAATGTAAAAAATTTAATTATATACAATTATTAAAATATTCTACATTTCCTTTTAACACTTTTTGCGCCATAACGACTTGGGGTTAAGATTTGCGGCAAAGGTTTTGTTGAGTCTACATTTATGTTATTTAGGCTCCATTCCCTTTTCGTTTGTTGGGTTTTCTTCTTATCCTTTCAGTTGTGGATCTTTAGTTTTTTTTTTCTTTTGTTTTTTAATATCCTACAACCTTTACTTTATTTTTTACTACCTCTATACTTAATATAAGATCTTACTAGACTTTGATTTTGATCCTAAATATGAGATTCCAATCCACTTTGTTTCTAATACTTATGCATTTTTTTCCCAAAGTAGTCATTCTAGTAATAATCGTTCTAGCCAACACATTTGATTAGCTAGAGTATTTTAAGAAAGATAGCATCTATTTATTACAAATAGCTAACTTAAACTATTTTTTTAATCTCATCACATTAGTCAACTAGCTCTTATAATTAAAACCGGAGGTAGTCTAAAATACTATGGCGCAAAAAAAAAAAACCAAAAGGCCTAGCCAACGAGGGAGGATGGGCTAATGACCGGGCAAAGTAACTAGGAAATAATAGAAGCAATATTTTAGCAATGTTATCCATTTAAATTTTTAAAATTTAACTTATAAGAGGCTTATTGCGGCTGCTTAATAAATCATAGATCAAATGTCATTTTTTCGTGATTAGAGACGTCAGGATTGCAAAAAATGATATCGGGCAAATGGAATTTTTATAATTTCTAGGAGAGTTCAATAGCAATAATTAAAGATATTTGTGATTTATAACTCTACTTGATATATTTGTTAAAATAGCCTCAACTTCCATGCAACTACAAATACATCACATATTCCAAACAAAAAAAAAAAAAACTACTGCATGGCATCTACCACTAATCAAAAACGAAAATTTTCTTAGACTTGAGTGATAATAGCTCTCCCATCATAATGCCATATTTTACTCTCCGATTCATCCATTAAAAATGATGGATCTAAAAGATAAGACCAGAGTGGATTCAACTTTTAATGGACGATTCCAGATTACGCGTATACAATGGACTATTCTACTTGTAAACCATTATTCTCTTATTCTCTTACCAAACATACATGTGCATATACATTCACATCTTTTATGGGTAGACATCACATATCCATTTTTGACCGTGCATACACACAAAAGCATATATGCAATCCTCTGCATGCACAACAAATTGCACATTTTAGCGTCTTAAAAGTATTGAAAACAATTGGTATTGCTTTAATATGCGAGGTAGATAAACATGCCGGGCCGCTCCCCGAAGTCACGTGGGGATTGGATAGAAGACGAAGTGAAGAAGGAGGAACATCAATAATGTGTGTGTTTGCATTATAAAAGATTGGAAACAATTTCAGAAACCAAAAGGGCGTTGATCAAGAATTTATCTGTTTGATATAGTCGGATTGCCTGGATTCAATGAAACTTTTAATTCTTTCAGCATCTCCATGCATCACAACTTTCCCATCCTCCATGTAGACGGCACCATCAGCATAGTTTAATTCTTCTAAACGATGAGTGACCCACAATGCTGTAACCCCTGCAGAAGTATCCAGAGAATTCCTAACTGCTTTGATAACACCAACCTGAAAAAAATATTGAAGCAAACAATCTGTTAAGTAATTGCTGGTCTTGCACAGCATATTATTAGTATGGGTCGGAACCGTAGTGAAACCATGCTTTAAAGCAGTAAAGCTGTTCAGAAATTCAAGCCATATTTCTTAGAGCTGTAATAGGACTAAACTAGACATCGCCCCACTAACAATGAGTGCCACTGGTACTTCTGAGAGTTGTCATAGGCTTAAGCAGCAAGTTTAACCCTCTAAGCAAGGGGTTATCTCCATTTATTGTTTTTCTTTTCGATGGTTCTAATGCTACGCAGGAGAGAATATCATTACAATAATGGTTGGCTGATTACCTGGTCATTTTCATCTAAGAACGTTGTGAGCTCATCCAACAACAGAACTTTACAAGCTTCTGCTAAAGCACCAGCAATGGCAACCCTCTGCTTCTGACCGCCACTTAGAGTTTGAACAGATCTCTGAAAATTGCAGCAAAGGGAATATTCATTCATAGGAATCCCTCAATTTGTATTAGCGTTCAGAGTTGTCCGTGTCCATAATACCTGCATGTAGTCAGACATGCCCACAGCATGCAACGCTCTTGATACCCTTGATTTCACTTCATCATTGGTCAGATTGAACTTGCCAAGACCAAATGCAACGTCAGCTTCCACTGTAGGCATTACCACCTGCAGCACGTGTAATGCTTCACACTTACTCAGATTAAGACCTATTTTCTGCATATCTATTTTAACATGTTCACTAAAACCAAGTTCCTATTTTCTATAATTGTCGATCCAATTTTGGAAGGAAAAAAAATTGCATTTTGCAAACTGCAAACAGTAAGGTTAAAATAGTAAGAGAACCGGTCAGAATGGCATGTTAGTAAATAACACATATGGACAAGCAGAGGAAGAGCATCAAAGCCATAAATGTGAAAATACAGTCATTATTAAGTGGAGACTAAAAATTTAAAAATTGAGGTGAATTTTAAGAGTTTGCTCAGCATGTGATTATGTGTTGTTAATGTAATCTTACGGGAAGTAATACAAGACAGAGAACAGTTGCCTGGTTCAGGAATCATGTGTCATTATGGTTCTTAAGAGTTTGCTCGTAGGTTAAGTACAGGTCAGTTGCAAATTGCAATCGCCAAATGCCTTTGCTAAATAGTTATATATACATAAAATTATACGTATCGACAACATTAAACAAGTTGATGACAAATTTTATCAAGTTTAGTCATCTACATTAAACTATATACAATGTTAGAAAACCAGTCCACAGCCAGAATAACAATGGTAGCAAGATAATTTAAAAATGAATTCCACTTTTCTCTAACTTGTCACGTTGATATACTTCCCTTCCCTCAACTCAAAATGTCGTCTCATTCTGTCATACAGCCAAACTACTTATTCTCATGACAAGCAAGTGAAAGATTTTCCTTTTCAAATATGAAAGTTAAAAGTTTCATAATTATCTAATACCCAACACTTATGCTATGAAGAAAGATAACAATGAAGTTAGAATACCTGATGATCTGGATTTTGGAAAACAAAACTTTTGGGGCCTTTCACGCACACTGTTCCTGCAGTAGGATTTAAGAGACCAGCTAATATCTGCACATTAAGCTCAGAATCACTGCATATTCTGATACTATGCCAAAGCCCCATAGTATTAAACAACTCCTCAAAAGGCATCGAGCCAGTTGGAAGCGGCGGACCTATCATTCTATTGGGGTTCCACAGAAGGGAAGAGGGGTTTTGTGCATACCTTTAAGAGGGTAGATTTCCCGCATCCGTTGGGTCCAAGAAGCATCCAAAACTGCCCAGAAGGAATGCGAATTGAACAATCCCGAAGAATCGGTACAGCTTTCACCTGCCTTGTGGGGAAAGAGAAATTCAGGTTACGACCTTCAATAGCAATATCATCCGTCCGGTGGCTTCTGAAAATTTAAATACAGAAAAGCAGTCGAGTGAGAATAAAAGATGAGCAAACCAAGCTCGAAGGGAAAAAGGTCAGTAAGTGTTTGAAGAAATGCCCAACTGAGAAATGACAACGAAACCCAATGAATTTAGTTCTGTATAGAAGGGTGAACCTGATGGGAGTTGTAGAGTAGAGAGGAGCAACAAGACGCTCAGGGAAGCGATTAAGATAGGAGAGATTCATATCATTCTAATTTGACTAGCAACCACGTCCCTAGTAGAATGTCATAGAGTCTCTAACAGGAAATAGCAAGAAAGATGAAACACCGAAGCGGCTTTCGCTTCGGCATGATTATTCTTGCTTTCTCTGGCTTATTATCCGAACGCCCGTTTGAATTGGGAAATCAACCAACGGGTGCTTCGCTTCAACCTCTGCATCGAGAAACGTTGCTACTTCGCTACATCGTGAAACCCCACCGCATAGTTTATCACCATACCTTGGCCATGGATTGTAATAAAAGGTTAACTAAGAAAAGAAAATTTTCAAAAAAATATCACTTACATCTCAAAATTTCATATGAATCATATTAGTCTTGTTTTCTAGACTTGTATAACAATTAACTGCACTTAAAAAACAGGTCATTATACATTTTTATAGAAATTTTTAATTACACTTGTGAAATATTAAACACTTATTTGCTTGCCGGCTAATTTCGTCATTTCGTGCGTTTGCCTAATTTTTTTAAATTATTTTTTCCTGTTGAGGCAACTTTTTTTCTATATGAAATTTGTTGTTTGGCCTATAAATTAATTCTCCGAATATCAGTTCTACAAGTCCAATTTATTGAAATAAATTACAAACATAATACTGAACCGTGTTTAGTTTGATAATTTTACTTTTAAAATATTTTCTCATATTTTGTGTTTATTATAAAAAAAATATATCAAAAGTATGTCTAACAAGGGACAGAAAATATTTATATACTTGTATACTACTTTGTTCCTTTTTAATTATCATTTGTAATAATTTCTCACATATATCATTAAATACAGAAAATCTTTTACCTTTATCTTTATTAAATGTTAGTATTTTTTTTTCTCACACATTCCTTCTCTCTTTCCCCTTACATTTATCTTCCTTAATTAATAGAGACAGAATTAAAAATAAAGAATTAAAAATAGTACAAGCAATAAATAAAAGAAACTAAAATTTCCTCAAGTGACAATTAAAAAAGTATCAGAGTGGTGCACTCCAGTGTTTGTTTCTAATTTCTGTCTGGCCCAACTCCCAAGTCCAAACGCAAAAGAGATTTTGGAAAACACGGCTTATTTGTGAGTGTATGATTAGCTAGAATTCAATGCCATCGGATTAGAATATTTTAGCATCTTTTATCTATAATATTTGAATTTACAAATGTTACTAAAAAAATATTAAGTAGTCCCATTAGCAAGTTCAACTTTGATGGATGAATTCAACGAATGGATTTTCTTAACATATATCAGCCTTTTATGCATGATCCTAAATTAAAAAAGTTGAATTAAAAACTGTTAACTTATTTTTATTATTCCTTTATCTTACATCTTTTTTTATTAAAATTTTAAAACTTCATTTTTTTCATTTTTTTTTAAATCAAACTCATTAAAATCTTTATTTCCTTCCTCTTTTCCCACTTTCTCTGGCACCAGACAAAGGGTAAAAGTTTTGCTTACAAGTTGAAAAATTGAAAATTGAAAATGAAAAGATTTATCATGGTATAAAATGAACAATAACCTTTACAACCAACTACAGTTAAAACATTTATGACCTTCAATGGTTATAAATAGATTGATTCATGTGTGATAATTAAGCACAATCTATTTAATTGGTAATAATCGTGAAATCTTTACATGCATAATTTGAGAACCTAATTTGGCTCATACATAGGCAGTCACAAAACAAAATTATTACAAAACATTTTCTACACATTGACGTTTAATTTTGAGCTCATCTAGCTACTTAATCAATATGATCATCAATTAATATTCTCTAATAAAAGGATGATCAAGTAATTGATGTGCGGGTGGTCGAGCATCTGGATCTCTTTGTAAGCAAAATCTTATAAAAGACTTTGCGTTATCTGAAAGATGATTTGGAATAGTTGGTAAGTCTCTGCTATTCCCAATTTTTGCTATTGCAACTTCCTGTCCAATATTAAATGAAATTAATAATAATGTTAGTTAATCCTTCTCATGAAATAAAATATGCAAATTTAAAATATTATTAAACAAAAATCAATAGTACGACCCACCCTTTTATATTGACTCCATGGAGGTTTTTGTGTTGCCATTTCTAGAACTGTGCATCCTAAACTCCATATATCCACAGCAACAGTATATCCATTTTTGTTGTCCACCATCTTAAAAAAAAGAAGAAGCAAATATCAAAGTTTAGTATTTATTGGAAAAAGGAAGACAAATAAAGGGGGGAAAAGATAATAAAGGGCATATGCTTGTTGAAAAGTTTTACCTCTGGAGCCATCCAATATAGAGTTCCCTTGAAAGAATACATCTTAGAAGAAGAATTTACCTAATTTAGAGTAATCATAGGTTAGAAATTTTCATTATTAGCAATAATACAACCATACTGAAGAGAAAGTGAAGAGAGAAACTAATCGAGACATTCTTCTCCCAACTAAAACGTGATATGTAAAAAAAAAAAAAGTAGAAGCCACTTTACAAACAAATATTATAAGAATATATATATGCAAGACATTAATAAGTGCTTGAAAAGAGAAAGCATGATATATATTTTATGTTATAATTACTTAATTGTTTGATCATTAATATCTATAAAATCTACTCATAGAAAATTGAGCAAATTGTAAGTTTTAAATAGAACATATCACCTAATTAAATATGTGTGGGGCTTGCTTTTCTATATATATATATATATATATATATATATATTGTCATATCATAATTTTTTGGCAGGGATGGTCATACCATAATTAAACAAAGAAATACATGTAAAGTAAATGAAATACTCCTCCGGTCCTTAATATAAGACCCAATTGTTGAGTTGGTTTTGGTTCTAAATATAAAACTCATTTATCATATTTATCAATTTTCTCTAAATTACTCCTATGGATACTCCCTCAACCATAATCAAGTAGAAGAAGAAGATGGGGTATTAAAAAAGATGATTATAGTATTTTAGGAAAAATATATCACATTTCTTATAATTAACTAACTTACCTAACTTCTTTAATATAATCAAATTAGTCAAATAGGTCTTATATTAAGGACCGGAGGAGTATGATATTGTGCACTTACATATCTTGCCATTCCAAAGTCGGCCAGCTTAATTTCACCATAAGGATTAACCAGTATATTAGCTCCTTTAATATCCCTGACAAAAAAACACAAAGAAAATTAACTAAAAAAAGTGACAAGTTCAAGTTTCTCATCAACCTATGTAATAGGATTAAGTAACTAACCTGTGTACTATGTTTCTGCTATGCAAGTAGGCAAGTCCTGAGACAATTTGTTTGGTATAATGTTGAATAACGTACTCTTTAAGAGGACCATATTTTTGAAGTATCGTGTAGATTGAACCACAAGATACATATTCCATATAAATTGAAATATATTTTCCCCCCTGCAAATAAATTAACAAATGGATCTTATTAATGAAATTTGTCATAAAATATATATGTAGTATATGAATTTATTATGAACATTGATATACCAATTCACTTCCATAATATTTCACGATGTTGGAATGTGAAAGCTGAGAGAGAATATTTTTCTCCTGTGAAAAAAAATAAAAATAAAAATTAATCATTGAGCTAATTTATTTTGATGCATTAAGCAAATTCCAATTAATTGCAAATCATATGAATAGCTACTACACTACGTTGCACTGGTTTACCTGACAAAGTTGTTGAAGGCATTTTTCTGATCTGTCATCATCATCAGCATAAAAGACTTCTTTAATTGCACATATTTGCCTGGTTTCACTGAAAAAAAAAAAAAACATTTTAGACAAAAGGAGCAAATTAAAAAAAGCAAAACACTAATATTTTGTTCATAAACAAAACAATAATAAAGATGGGTGCACAGATCATAGATAAAATAAATTTAATTTTATCACGATATAAAAATATACCAATTCATTGACATGGATGTTTTTGTATTGATCGCAAGAGATATTTAAGTCACATATAAACAGAAGAATTATAATGTGTATTATGTATAACTACCACACACACCAATTCAAACCTAAAAGATTCAAGATATGTAAATTATTGTAAATATATGATTAGTCTCTGAAGTGTGATATATAAAAGATCAGTTTTGTTTGTCAATTAAGAACAAATTAAATACATTTCAAACAAGAGATTAATTACCTGTTAAATCCTTTATAAACACGCCCAAATGCTCCTTGCCCTAAAATTTTTCCTCTCTTCCACTTGGATGGGTTACAGACACTGTACTCTTTTACTTCAATTGTTTGAGCATTTAAAGGTGCAGAACTATAAGGAGAGGAAAAAAAATAGAAATTAAGCCACAGTAAATTTTCAGAAATGTTTAAAGAAAAAAAATATATTTGCCCACATAAAAAATTGTAAAATTAAATCATCAACATATATAAAGTCTCCTCATGAATTTTGAACGAGAAAAAGTTTAATAGAGAAGACTTAGGAGACAAATAACTAAACACAACAACATATATCCAATGAATTATAAAAATAAAATATAGCTCTTCTAATTTTAGTTCCAAGAAGGTATTTGTTTTTCATGAAACTAGAGTATTTCCAAGTCATATTAGACTTGGAACTAATCTCTTTCTGACTAGTAACAGTTAAAGAATAACCTTCTTGATAAGTATGTTTTTCAGAATTTAAATTTGTGTTCTTTTCCTTATGAGAGTAGGGCTGCTACCACCTCAATTAATAACTTTTATATGTCTGTGTGTGTGTGTATACATATATATATATATGAAAAGAAAAACAAAAATAAAATGAATTGAATAATGAATTAACGAACCTGTTAGCATTATTAGCTTGATCATCATAAGAGATTGCAGAATTAGGAGCGTTGGTGTCAGAATCGGAGCTGCTAAATATTATGGTGGAAACAGTTCTGAGACCGTAGAAAATAGAGGTTTCAGGCAACACAATACTTCCAATATCCTCCTTCTTCTTTCCCTTCCATTCGCTTGCTTCACCATTCAAAGTTGAAGAACTGTAAAAAGGACAAAAAAAAGATTAATACAATTTTTAATTTTTCAAATTTGTTCTCATTTTGGTTTTAGTCTCTCAATTTTTCAATCATAGGTTTTAATCTCTCAAGTTTGTTTTTATTTATAACATTGATCTTTATAATATAATAAAAACACAAATTATTTTGCCTCATAAGAGATCAAAACCTATGGTTTGAAATTTTAAGGGACCAAATATTATATTAACCTAATATATACACACACGCG